ATTTTCAATATTTTGGCTATTTCAAGAGCCTTAAATTCCTGATTTTTATACACACACTTTGAGCTTGTGTTTCTAGTTATATACTCTCATATTCATAAGTTTGAATTGTATTTTTGAGAGAGTATACTTTCTTTCTACACCGGCTAAGTTTTGTTCTTCATTTTTATATTCTAGCCGTTGTGTAGAATCCTCTTTTGTGTTCTTCAAACACACCTTCTTACGGTCGAGAATAGCCGTTAAATTCTCATATTGTATCGGTCGAGGATAGGGCACAACGACTAAACCGACTAACATCACTATCCTGAAGTACGTTCAAATCCGAGACGAAAAGTCAAATTGGCTAATGCCTAAGACAACGACCCCTTGAGTAATTTGAAAGATTACGTTACAATGTATGAGTTGAAATAACCTCTCAATTTCTGACTATGCCTATCAAAGGATATTGAAGAACTTTTCAATCAAGAAAAGAAATTCAGTTGAGCAATAACGTGCAAACGAGACTCGTCACTGAATGAAGCTATGTGCAAATATGTCAAGTATACAATACTACACACTTTGAATCTCTCGAATATTGAACGAGTTTGGTAACATTAACAATTTGAGAATACGTATTTATAAGATAAAACGTAACCATACGTATTTATAAGATAAAACGTAAACCAATTTTGATTCTGTCAAAGTCAAACACCCAAAAATATGATGTCGGAAAAAGTGTTACAAATAAATATAAAATTTATATCGTTGGATAGAGTTTAACTGCCCGATCGCAACGGAGCAAACGAAATTCAATTCGGAGAAAGTTAGACCGAAAAGTGTACCCCAACTGGAACCAAAATTGGTCCCAATTAGAGTACTGTTCCGTCGGCGCCTCCTAGCGCACTAACCGATCCTAAATCGAATGAATCATCATCATGCTTCTTCTTCTTCCCCACAACCCCTATTTAAGGGAGAATCCATTTTACCATTACTACAACATTCCTTCTGCAAATTAGTTCATTAGAATCCTGAGAGTGAGGGGAGTAGACTGCTGTTGTTGGCTGCCGTCGAAGTCGCCGGAGCAAGCCGTGGTCTTCGCTGGAAGTTTCGTTGTCCAATTGCCGGAATCATCGTTAAGCTTCAAGGTAAGCCCGTAGATATATCTTGTAACTAGAATGTTCATATAGATCGTTTCTACGTTCATAAACGGTCGTTTGGTTGAGTTTTGTGTTTGACATGCTTGAAGAACCAAGAATTATAAACCATTAAATTGATGTTAAAACTATGAATTAATGATGCCAAAATGATCTATGAACTTTGGAGAACATTTCTATATAGTTTAATTAAAGTTTAATGACTAAAAATGGAATTTCCGAAACTTGGCCCGAGGTTGAAGATGACACTGTTCAAAGTTACGCATAGTACAGTACCACCCTACCGCCCGGACGGTACCTAGGTACCGCCGGCACAATAGGCTATACCGTCTACATGGTACCCTCCCTACCGTTTCATTTTGTGTCTCTCACGGTACGTGGTGGCGGTCGGTAGTCACGGTACCGAGGTACCGTACCAGGTACCGTCCAGAACCAGAAAATGCTCCGAAAACCCGATTTTTGAACTATTAAATCCTATTTTTTAAACCAATCAATTATGAACAATATGAATATGATTTCTGTAAATAAAAATAATGTTTTGACAGATTTAAAAGCTCTGTTTGATGCATGACGGTAAGCTAGGGTGTTAACACTCGACACTAGGCCGCTATTTGTTAATAAATGTTACTATGACTATTATGATCAAATTGATAATATTCTGAATAAATGATTATTATAATTGATAATGGAATATCATTGATAATAATATTGATTATGACAATCAAATGGACGACCCGAGTGATTATGACTACATAACGATTATGATTTTATTATGATAAATAAAAGTATATGGAATTGAATGAAAGAACCATAAAGACGAAATTATGAATAGATATGTGTGTTTGACTATCTTGAATTAAATTATGATTATGAATCATCGAAACATAATTCAAAATGAATAAATTGATCAACAAGAAAATGATGTGTACTCGTAAGGATATCTAGAAGACTTTAAGATATACCTATTAGCTAGATTGATGGATTAGATAAAAATGCATAAACGACATTCGTAGTCCAAACTAGAGGATCACTCGTTTGGGAATGCCCAATTCAATGTTGACCATTTGCTATATTGTCGTTGCCTTAACTGACTACAGTTAAGTGTCCAAAATCATTTGCCTTAAACCAATGATAGTTTAAGTGTCTGATTGCCTTAACTGACTACAGTTAAGTGTTTGAAATCAATTGCCTTAAACTAATGATAGTTTAAGTGTATTAATAACTGCCTTTTAAGAATCTGGTTATGGAAATTATGATTTGGCCTTAGACTAAGAATAGCTAAGAGCATTATTATGATCTGGCCATAGACTAAGAATAGCTAAGAGCATTATTATGATCTGGCCTTAGACTAAGAATAGCTAAGAGCATTGTTATGATCTGGCCTTAGATTAAGAACAATTTAAGAGCACTATCGAAATAGTATCTGAATTGAATAAAATGTGTTGATATGAACTGAACAATACCAAAACTGTGAATGTCTGAAATGAACATTTTGTGCATGATATCAAATGATTTGATTATGAATTTAGATTCAGTTTATATGGATGTTCGATGAATTAGATATGCTTACTCAGCTTTACCGCTGAGCGTGTAGTGTGTTTTATTTGCTACACACAGGTAAAACAGAAAGACCACTGTGATCCTGGCAGCAGATGGGGCGAGATTGTCGGGATGGATGTGACAAGTTTGAAATGATTTATGATATGTAAAAATTAAATTCGATTCCGCAATATTATTGAATACTCTGTACTGTATATGTTATGAAAAATTATTGAGATTAATAAAGTGTTTTTTAAAAGTTTTAAATTTTTACGATTACCAAGTTAAATACTTTAGTCCGAATAGGGTTGCAGACCTGGACGGATTAGGGTGTTACAGATCGTTGGTCAACGGTGGTCGTCTGTTCGTCTGACCGTTATGGCACACCGGCGAAAGGTCAACGATGGTCGACCGTTTGTGACTGCAAATTATATTTTTGTTACTTTAAGTCTCTTAAATACTTTCTTAAGTCATTTAAAAACTTTTGATTGTTATACATACATACATACATACATACATACATACATACATACATACATACATACATACATACATACATACATATATATATATATACATATATACATACATACATACATACATATATATATATATACATATATATATATATATATATATATATATAT